CTGCAATCAGGGATCAATCTGACGAGCTTGGGGGACCCTGCGTGGTGCCAGGGATCAAACCTGGGTCGGCTGCATGCAAGGCCAACACCCTCCCCACTGTACTGTCTCTAGGCCCTGAATAAGATGCATTTTCTTTTTCTTGTTTTGGGTGGTGGTGGGTGGGTGAGACTTAGCCCGCAGTGCTCAAAGGACACTTCTAGCTCTGTTCACTGCTCAGTGGTCCATGCAGTGCCAGGGATGGAGCCGGAGCATCCAGCACGCAAGGCCTGTGTTCCGGTCTGCTGAGCATCTCCTTAGCCCTAGAACCAGGAGTCAGCGGGCCACATCGGAAACGAGAACAGCGCCAGGTAGTCCAATGGGTAGGGCACTTGCCTTGCATGTAACCAACAAGGGTTCAATCCCCAGCACTCGTAGGGTCCCCCGAGCCCTGCCAGGAGTGATCCCTGAGCACTACTAGATGTGGTGCTCAAAATAAGACAAAACAGAACAAATGGGATGGGGCCATTGAGACAGTATGGGGGTAAAGATCTTGCCTTACTGCCAGAGTGATCTCTGAGCACAGAGCCAGGAGTAAGCCTTGAGCACTGGTGCGCTCCCCCCAAAAAACAATAACAACAACAACAACAACAAAAAACCCAGATGGGGTTGCTGAAGCCCAGAAAGGGGAAGAAACGTAAGCAGAAAAACTGTATCATAGGGCCGGAGCAGTATTCCAGTGGGCAGCGCATTTGCCTGGTATGCAGCTGAGCTGGGTTTGATCCCCAGAATCCCAGCATCCCACAGGGGCCCCCGAGTACCACCAGGAGTAATTCCTGAGTGCAGTGCCAAGTGGAACCCGAGCATCACTGGTGTGGCCCAAAAAAAGTAAGAGAGAGAGAGAGAAATAGAGAGAGAGAGAGAGAGAGAGAGAGAGAGAGAGAGAGAGAATGGGGGCCAGAGAGATAGCCCAGTGGTTAAGGCTTGCCTAGTATCCTTGACAGGGCTGGAACTCCTGCAAGGCATATGTTCCCTCGAGCACCACCAGGGGTCACTCCTGAGCAGAGTGAGGCTTACCTCCTGAGCATAGAGGGTGTGATCCCAAAACAACCCCCCCCCCCATTCTGTCCTCGTCCTGGCAATCTGTGGCACCTCCAGACTCAAAGTCACTATTTCTGGCATACTGAGGGGTTTGTGCGTCCGTTTGTTGCTGGTGAGAGACATGAGCAGCCGGCTTTGTGGTTTGGAGGAGGTCCCCCATTCTCAGCTCATGTCATTTTGAGGAAGTAGAGCGCTCCAACGCCAGGCAGTTAACATCAGCTCACCACAGAGGTGGGGGGCAGGGGCCACCCTGCAATCCAGCTGGCCAGGGAGAAAAGGGAGGGGCTGGACTATGATCTGTCCCTATTTTTGTATATTTATTATTTAATTCTTTTGGGTTTGGGGGTCATACCCGGTGATGCTCAGGGGTTACTCCTGGCTCTGCACTCAGAAATCATTCCTGGCGGTGCTCGGGGGATCCTGTGGAGTGCCGGGAGTGCCGGGGACTGAAGCCCCGTCGGCTGTGTGTAAGGCAACCACCCTGCCTGCTGTACTCCGACTCCGATCTGATCTCTGTGTGTGTGTGTGTGTGTGTGTGTGTGTGTGTGTGTGCGCGCGCGCGCGCGTGTGCGTGTGTGTATTTGGGCCACATCAGGAAGTATTCAGGAGCACCCTGGCCCGGCTAGGGAACCAAACCCGAGCCTCCAGCATGCAGAACCTGTGATCCAGTGCGCCAACTTCTGGCAGGGCTGGGAACTAAGACTCTGGCGCTCGGGTCTGCAGTGAGGAGGCCTGATTGGGAGCCCGTTTCAAACTTTGTCCCCGAGTGACCTTGGGCAAATAACTTTCCACCTCTCGCGCCCCGCCCCACCCCCAGTTTCCCGCGGAGATGTAGGGCGCAGCTTTGAACGCCAAAGCTGCAACGCAGAAAGAGGGCCTCCGAGATGCTCTGGGGCGCCAGACTCCAACGCGCCCCACGTCCCACACTTTGCTCCTAGAGGCCCCGGTTTAGCTTTGCGGGGCTCGGGGTGCAGGATGGGAGGGAGGGGAAGCAGCTGGCTTCCACGCCTCGGAGCGCGGGGATCTCTCCCGCAGCCTGCGGTCGGCCGACCTGGCGCCGGGTCTCCGGAACGCTCAATATGCATGAAATAATAATAATACAGGGGTGCCGCGCGCCGGCCGCTAGAACCAGCCCCACCAGCAGCGAGGCGGAGCGCGCACGCCGCCTGCGGTTCGCCGGTTACCCGGCAGAGGGCGCGCGTGAGCCGGAGCGCGCTGGGGAGCCCCGTTCCCGGGCCCCATCCAGGCCTATGGGGGGGAGGGGGACGCAGCAACCCCCGAGGAGCCAAGGGAGCCCGGGGCCACAGGCTCGAGAGGGACCCTAATTCGGTCGCCTCCACCACTTCGTCCTTTTTTTGTTTGTTTTAGGGCCTCACCCGGCGATGCTCAGGGCTGATTCCTGGCTCTGCACTCAGGGATCACTCCTGGGGGTGCTCTGGGGACCCTGTGGGGTGCCGGGGGTCGGACCAGGGTCGTCGTGTGCAAGGCCAGCGCCCTCCCCGCTGTCTTTTCACCCGGGCCCCCACCTCTTCGTTCTTGAAGCACAGCAGTGGGTGGAGATTTTGGGATCCAATTGGGGGTGGGCAGAGTAGGGATTCTGAGGGGCTCGCCCCCTAGTGAGGCAAGCCCCCTCCCCTCAAGCCCCCTTTCCCTCCTGCTCCATCTGCCTTAAACGGTGGTAAAAGCGGTGTGGTGACAGCCCCACGGGGTGCAGACCCAGGCACCCCAGGTCGACAGGGGTCTGTGAATACCTTTTCGAAGGGGGGGGGGCGTGCCCTCTCTCTTTGGGGGAGGATGTCCTGGGACTCGAGTCTGGAAGGTTCTCTGTGCTCCTTTTTTGGAGGCTGAATGAATTCCATCGGTGGGGGGCGCTGGGAACGGGGTGCATGCTGGTAAAAGCCCCTTTCTGGAGAGCTGGGCTGGCAGGGTGCCCATTCTACAGAGCCAAGTCCTCCCAGCAGCCTCTCAGCTCCTCCTTCCTCCAGTCCGGGGAACGAGGGGGCAGCGATGCCACGGTCGCCGACATCCGTGCCCCAGCAGAGACCAAGGAGGTTCCTGTTTTTGCTCGCCTCCTAGAGGGTGGTCCAGTCCCTTTCCTCTCCCTGGGCCCCAGGGAATAGGGGGTGCTGAGTGACTCACAAATTTCCAACTGAAACCTGTGGGGGGAGGGGGCAGGGGGCAAGCCTCACCTCTAAAGTGGGAACTTAAAGCTCAGAGAGGGCAAAGCATCTTTGCGAGGACACACAGGAATTGGCCAGACCTGACTGAGCACTATCATTCCTTTACACACACACACACACACACACACACACACACACACACACCCCAGCATGAGCGCTGCCTTTCTGGGCCTTAGTTTCCCCATCTGTCCCATGGGAGGGGGGGAAGTCCCCCAGTGGGGATCCTGAGACCGGTCGCAGTAAGATGAAGATGGATTAGTGTGATGACAGTAACCACTTAGCCACTGTCCCCGAGAGACAGTGCTCCGGACACTGGAGAAGGGGAGTGTCTGGGGCCGGGAGAGGCACAGGGGGCCGGATTCCAGTGCCCCCGCCCCCGCCGCGTCTCTGGACAGTGACCTGACTCTGCCTCTGCCCTGGCATTTCCTGTTGATTTCAGTGTTGTTTTCCTTAGCTCTGCTCCCATCCCCTTGGGAACTCACCATCTCCTCTCCAGCCCCGTGACACAGGCTTCCTGGGATGGCCGTGGGGAGGGCAACACCTCTGGGCCTGCTGGGTGCACCCCCTCCCATCCAGGGAGGGGAGGTGGCCGGGCACCCGGGGTGCTGCGCTGAAGCTGGGGTCCCCTGTGGGACTAGAATCGGAGGGTGGCTGCCAGGCTGCCCACGGACGCCTTTCTCAGAGACCCCACGAGCAGGATACCCTGACCCGAGCGTCCTCGCCACGCCGCCCACTCCACGAGCACCCCTCCGCGTCAGACAGAGCCCCGACAGTCAGGCCCCAGAGCACCAGGCGGCATACGGGGCTGGCGGGAGCACCCCAAAAAGCCAGAGCACTGGCTCCGGGAACCAGTGCCCAAGGAACCGTGGCCTGGCCGGAGTGTCCCGCTGTCCCGGCACCACAGACACGCACCCCTAGAATCCAGCCTGTCAACCCCGCAGCTGGGGGAAGGGCTGGTCCCCAGCAGCCTCCACATTTCAGGGGCGCAAACAAGTCACGCTCGCTCGCAACCCTCGCCACCCTGGGAAGCAAATGACTGTCTCGGGGACACCCCCAGACTGTCCCTGGAGCAATTCCTCTGTCCCAACCATGCGGTCCTCACCCTTCCTGCAAGGCCAGGCTGTCATAGCTGGGCACAGATCCGGGGTCAGAGCCAGGAGAGCCACTGGGTACCCCAAAGGGTAACCCTGGCCGCTGCTCCCCCCAGCCACTCATGATCCTGAAGCAAGAGGAGGCTCCAACAGAAAAGAGCCCCCCCAAAGTGCTCCGGCACACCAAAATCCTCTACCGATGTCAGAGCCCATCAGGAAGACCTCCAAACTCATCCAGTCTTGCACCCCCAAGGGGGTCCCTGAGGTCCTCTCTGCCTGAAGGAAACTGGATCTGGCTGCACCCCCATCACGGCCCAAACACAGAGCCTCGAGCCCTCGGGGCTGTGCGCCAGGAAAGTCTCTCCAAGTTGCCACCCGGCGTCCCCGAGGGGTCCTACGAGGCCACCAAGTAGACAGACACCCCGGTCGCTGCTCCGCACCCCATCCCGGTACGCAGCCTCGCACTCCCTCAGTCGGCTTCGGGAGCGGCCCGAGGGTCTCCGAGGCGCCCCCCGCCACCCCCCGCCCCGCATCCTTCCCCTGCCTGCCCAAGCGCCCCGGCCGCGTCACAGCGCCCTCCCGCGGCCGGCCGGCGCGGCGCGTCCTCCCCGCGCGCCCAGCCGCGCGCGCCCCGCGAGCGCCCGAGTCTCACCGCCTGCCGCCGCCGCCGCCGCCGCCGGTGCCGTGGAAGGACGAGGGCCAGGACATGCGGGTGGTGCGCAGGCCGGGCCGGTCGCCGGTGTCCACGGCGTCGGCGCGCTCGATGGGCCGGTGAGGCGAGCGCTCGGGCTCGGCGCGCTCGGCGCTGTCGGAGTAGCCGCGCTGCTGGATGCGGATGGGGGTCCGCGGCTGCCGCCACAGGTGCTGGGGGGGCGGCTTCAGCGTGGCCTGGCCCTCGCGGGGCCCGGGAAGCGACAGCGACAGGCTCCTCTCGGCGGGCGCGGCCGGGGGCTCCATGGCGCCGGCCTCCCGCGCCCCGACACCGGCGCCCCCGAGCTGCGCCCGGCTCAGCGGCGCGCGTCCTCCCGCGCCCGGGGCCCCGCGGGCGCGCCCGGCCTCCGACGGGCCATGGCGCCCCGGGGACAGACCCGGGGGCGCGACGGGGCCGATCGCCCCCGGGCCGGGCGCCGACGTTGCACTGGGCGCCGGGCGCAGCGCTCCGTGCCCGGCGGAGCTCTCGGCGCTCGGGCCCCGCGCGGCGCCAGCCCCGGCTCCCCCGCCCCGTCCCGCCCCGCCCCGCCCCCCGCGCCCGCCGCGGCTGTCAGCGCCGTCCCCTCCCCTCCTCCGTCCGGGCCAGTGGGGGGCAGCCACCCAGGGAGAGGGGGGCCTCCCGCCCACGCAGAGCCCCGCTGCCGACGGGGAGGGGGCGCCGGAACCCGGCGGGCCCCGGCGCGGCGGGCTCCGCGGCGACGCGCCCGGGCGCGAAGGAGTTAAGCGGGTAATCGGCTCGGATGCGGACACCCGACTGGCTGCCGGGGTGTCAGTCAGTCAGTCCATCACGGCCGGGGCGGAGCCCGCCGCTGGCGTGGCCGCGGCTCTCCCCGGCCCGGCGGGGGACGCGTGGGGAGTGGTCGCGGTCCCGGGACTCGGTCCCTGCGGCGGGGAGCGGCGGGCGCGGCCCCCCCGAGGTGGGTGGAGGGCGGGACTGGGGGTGCGCCTGGGCGGGAGGTGCGCGCACGTGGCCCCGGTGCCCGGTGTCTGTGTTTTCGACTGCGGCGGGAAGTGTGTGCGCGCACGTGGTCGGCGGCTGTTTTCTCTGGCGTTCGCGGTGTGTAGCTGCGTGTCTGGGGGTGCAGGAGGGGTGCGCCCGAGCTCTGCCTGTCTGGGGCGGGGGGTGCGCCTCGGCGGCGTCTGTTCTGGGGGCCTGCGTGTGTTCCCACGCTTTGGGTGTGCGCCGCGGTGTGTGGGTGAGTGCGGAGTTGTGCACGCGATTCGCCCCGCCGGGGTCCGAGGAGCGGGGGCGCTCCGAGGGGCTCTCTGTGTCGCGATGGGGCGGAAGGGGCAGCGGCCCACTCGGGGGTCTGTTTGGGGCGTGTCCCTTGGCTTACTCCGGGGTCCCGGAGGACGGCTCCCGGTCAATTTCCCGCCCGCGCGGGGCGGGGAGCCATCCTCCTCTCCGAAAGCGCTTCTGCGGGAGGTAAACTGAGGCAGAACCCCGGCAACCCTGAGACGCACCCCCGCGCCCTTTGCAGGAGCGTAAACAGCCGCGCCTCCTCCCCGCGGCCCCCGCCAGCAGAGCCCCCCTTCCGGCACCTAAATCGGGAGCCGCCGTGACTCACGCACCGCCTCCCCCAGCGCCGCGCTGAGCGAGCGAGCGGGATCGGGCCCTCCCCTCCCCCCGCCCGGGTCCAGGCCAAGGCCGGGGGGGGGGGGGGGCGGCGGGGCGGGGGTCCGCACGGAGCCGAGCGCCGCGCTCCAGGGCTCCTGGGGGCTCTGGCTCTCACTCGCTGGGGTGCTCCCGGGGGACCCCGGATTCTGCGCCCTTGCTCCCCATTCTCCGTCTCCCGGGGCCAGGCCACGCCGTCTGCCACCACCCTCCCCCACTTCTTATAAAAGCCGGTTTCCAACCCCCACAGTCGCTTTTCTCCGGGCTAGAGGGGGCTCCGGGCGTGGGCGAACTCAGAGCAAGAACCGGCCCCCCCATCCGCCGCCGCGGGCTATCTCGAAGGCCGGGAACTGCGTCCCCCACTTTCTCACCGACCCTCCCTGCAAGCGACCGCTGGCAAAATGGGCTTCTAGGGAACTGGCAAAGCCTCCAGTGCACCCCCAGGTCCGCTTGGAGGGACCTGCGCTGGGGCGATTTGGGGGGAAGTGCAAGCCGGCGGAATGGGGGTGGGGTCAGCCTCAGCTGCAAAAAAAAAAGGCCGTGTAATCGGAGCTCTGGCCGGAGCTGGGCTAGATCAGGTTGAACTTGAACCCGGCAGAGATGGGATGCAGGGCTTTTGGGGGGCGGGGTGGAGGGATGCCTCAGCTCACCAGACTGAGTGGCAGTTTCTTTGCCCCTCCTCCGGGGACCCTGACCCTGACCCAGGGGGAAAGCACCCCCATTGTCCCGCGGGGTGGGTAAGGGTAAATTGAAACTCGGGGTGGAGAATCGTGTCATGGGGGAAGGTCCCCCCGCACCTGGCCTGACGCCAGGACCTGCTCAGCTTCTCTCCTTCCAGCTCCTCCCTGGCCCAGGATGGGGCTTGCATTGCCCTTGGGGGACCCCAGATGAGAATCTGCAACACCCCGTTCTGGGTGAGACGGGGCTTGCAGATTGCTGACCCCCCACCCCAACACACAGACATCAGAATTAAGAAAAATGCTGGCACCAACCCCCAGAATCCCTCATCCCTTTCCCAGCTGGGAAGGAATCCAGGCCTCCAGGAGGGGAAATATACAGCCAGTCTGCGCCACCTCTGAAGGGCTTCCCTTCGTGCGGATCCCTTGCTGACTCAGGGGGCTGTAAAACGGAGGTTTCCAGAGAGGGGTGGGTGGGGAACTGCATGTGGGAGGGATGTCAGTTCCCGTCTGGAGAAAGGTCCAGAAGGTCTTGCAAAAACAAAAACAAATCAGCATGTATTCAGTCTGGCTTGGGACTGGGGGGTCCCTCCCACCCTCTGTCTCCACTCACCTGTCTGCTCGGGTGATGCAGATCCGTGGCGAGATGAGCAGCGGCAGGGTGGTGGGCCGGGCTGGCAGTGTGACCCCCAGGTCCGGGGGGTCGGGGCCAGCACAGCCAAGGCCAGGCCCAGCAGAGAGACGGCGTCGAGGAGGCCGGCGGAGATCAGCCCCCAGCATGTTGGCACAGACGCACTCAGGGGGCTCCCGCGGTCTCTGAGGAAGAACAAGGCTGGGCTGGGGACGGCAGACTGCCCTGAATGACCCCCCTCTCGCCACCCACCTCCCTAGCAAGCTAAGTGCTGGAGGGGGGTCTGGAGTGCCCCCACCCAGGGGTAGTTCACCCTGAAATGTCCTTATTTTGTTTTGTTTTGGGTTTTTTCTTTTTTTTTTTTTTTAGGGGCACTCAGGGCTCTGAGCTCAGGAGACACTCCTGGAGGTGCTCTGGAGACCCTATTGGGTCCCAGGGATCGAACCTGGGTCGCCCACACGCAAGGCAAACCCCCTCCCTGCTGGCCCATGGCTCTGGCATTCTGACCCCTCTTTCAACCACTTCTCCAGGCTCCCCCTTTATCTCGCGCTTCTGGGCCCACTCACTTTCTTCAACACAATCGGGTAAACTGAGGCCAGAAGCATCTGGCGGGGATGGGGGAGGTGGGGAGAGCGAAGCAACACTGACCAATCGCCGTCCCTAGAGCATGCCCATCCGTCTTGTCCCCAGCCCCGGGGGTGGGGGGTGAAAGGCACGGACAGGACACTGCACAGGACACTGTGGCTCTTGTTCATCGCACCAACTCAGCGCGCTTGCGCAGTTGGGGGGCCGCGGGGTCTGGGCGGAGGGGTCAGCGCCCCCAGCGGGATTCCAGCTGCCAGAGCAGCGGTCACTAGCGCGCGGGCGCCCCCTGCCGGCCGGGCGTGGAATCCGCCCCCCCGCCCCGTGCCGGGCCCCGGGCCGTGACATCAGCGAGCGACTGACGCACCGCCTGGCGGTGGGTGACGTGGTCCCCCCATTGCCACAGCAACGGCTGACGCACGGCCGGGCTCCGGCCAGCGTCAATGCCGGAGTTGGCCACTGGGGGGCCGGGTCGTCGCAGCGCCCCCCTTCCCCGGCTCCCCCGGGATCCCGCCGTGCAGCCCCGCGTGCTCCCGCCGCGTGGGGCGCGTGGTCCGAGCCGGGGGCCGGAGGAAGCGGTTTCTTCCGAGTTTGCTGCTGGGCTTTTTCATTCCGAGAGCCCCGAAATAGCTGCGAGGTGCGGGGGCCGGGCGCGGAGAGACGGCGGGCTCGGGCACAGATGGGGGCCGCGCAGGCAGAGGCGCGCGGAGACAGACGGGGACGCGTGGAAATAGCAGCAGACAGACAGGGACACAGACGCAGCGCGCCACGCGGGGTGCGCCTGCCCCAGACTCCTGGGCGAGTCTGGGGGGTGCGGGGGGGGGATTCGGAAGAAGGGAGGGGGCGCGAGGCTGGCTCACCTCACCTGGGCATCGGGCGCTGCAGAGGCGCCCTCTGAGCCGGGCGATGCGGGAATATAAGCAGCCCTCCGGGGATCCGAGGGAGAAGGAAATGGGGTGCGACCTGATTGAGTTTTTGCAGAAGTGTCTGGCACTCAGGGAACGGTGAATCAGTACTACCTACCGATGTCTGAGCCATGGGGATTACCCGAACCCAAGTCAGATGCATGCGGCACCTCTCGGCTCCCTGGAAGGAAAATTTGGTCCTCCACAACGTGCCCCATCACTTCCCGCCCGACGCTTCCTCCTCCTCCTCCTCCTCCTCCTCCTCCTCCTCCTCCAGCTCTTCCCCACCTGCCACGCTGACGGGTTGTTATCATTGGGCACATTCCAGCCGTAGGGTCTTTGCCATCCCCCCATGAGAAATCTCTTCCCCCACAGAGTCCTGCACTTCACAACCTTCAGGTCTGCCTCAGTTCCACCTGTATCATGTTTATTACTGACTCTCCTCAGGAGTAAAAGATTGTTCGATCTTTTTCTTGGGGGGGGGGGGCGGTGGCTGGAGCGATAGCACAGCAGATGGGGCGTTTGCCTTGCACGTGGCGGACCCGGGTTTGATTCCTCCCTCCCTCTTGGAGAGCCCGGCAGAGTATCCCGCCCGTTCAGCAGAGCCTGGCAAGCTCCACGTTGCGTACTCGATATGCCAAAAACAGTAACAACAACGCTCACATTGGAGACGTTACTGGTGCCCGCTCGAGCAAATTGATGAACAACGGGAGGACAGTGCTATAGGACAGTGCTACAGTGGGGGTGGATCACATTCAGAGATGCTCAGGGGTTCCTCCTGGCTCTGTGCTCAGGAATCACTCCTGGCGGTGCTCAGGGGACCATAAGGGACACCAGGGATTGAGCCTGGGCTGGCTGCGTGCAAGTCAAGTTCCCTCCCAGCTGTGCTGTCGCTCCAGCCCCTGTTCTAAACAGTCAGCCCCAGGCAGGCCCAGGCCACGTGAACAAAGAGATGCCTGCAGAGAAGTCACTTAAATGCAACAGCCACTTTTTTTCTTTTTAAACTCCTGGCTCTGCACTCAGGGATCACTCCTGGCAGAGCTCAGGGGACCCTCTGGGATGCCAGGGATTGAACCCTCGTCAGCTGCGTGCAAGGCAACGCCCTCCACACTACTATTGCTTCAGCCCCACAATCTCTTCTCTTCAACCGCACTGAGCTCAGCCCTTCTCCCTTTCCCACCCCACCCCGACCATAAAGCACTCATCGGCGTAATTACCTGGCTTCCCCATTAGGCGGCGCTCTGTAAGGGCAAGAAGCAGTACCCATAATGCGCCACGCTCGTCCTGTGGCTGTGGATGAAGGACGGGTGGATGAAGGAGGGGATAAGTCAGACAGGGGGAGAGGACCCCCTTTCTCAGGATATAGACAGATCTATTTGCCGGGGGGCAGTTATCAGGGTCCTGCTCTGGGAATGCCGCTGACCAAGGTGCCATCTGGCCTCTGCTGCAGAGCAGCTGTTTATCCTTAGGCAAGTCGCTCAACCCCGCTGAACCTCAGGTGCCCTCTCGGTTAAAGGCTGGCAAGGCCGGAGGCAGACAGCAGGGAAGAAGCTTGCCTTGCACGCGCCCATCCAAATTCAACATTCAGTTCCTGGCACTGCAGAGGATGATCCCTGAGCACCATCCAGTGGGAGAAAAAAAAGAAAAAAAAGGCAGGGGGAGAAGCCAGAGCTATAGCTATAGGACAGTGGGGAGGGTGCTGGCCTTGCATGCAGTGGACCCGGGTTCGATCCCTGGCACCCTATAGGGTCCCCCGAGCACCCCAGGAGTGATTTCTGAGTGCAGAGGCAGGAGCAAGCTCTGGACATCGCCGGGTGTGGCCAAAATACAAAACCAGAAAGCGGGGACCCTAAGGCTTACCACCTCCCTCCCGGCTTGAGGCCAAAATGAAGCCTAGCATGGAGCGTCCTGAGCAGAGCAGGAGACTCCCCACAGCAGGGGACGCTCTGAGGCTGGCCTTGTGGAGTGACACACCTGTGATTCGCACACAGATTCACATACACTCATACTCACACACACACTCATCCACTCTCATACACACACATACAGCCTCACACTCATCCACACTCAGTTACACACAGTTACAGACTCACACTCATACTCCTGCACACCCTCCTACACTCACACCGACAGTCTCACACTCATAGAGTCACAAACACTCATATTCACACTCATTGTCACACTCATACATTCACACACTCGCACACAGTTACAGTCACACACACACACCTCATACACTCAGGCTTGCATCTCCCTGGGGCAGCCACACCTGGGGAGCCCCTCACCCCGACGCCTTCCCGGTGGAACTGTAGCCCTGACACCCACCCTCTCTGCGGAGAGAGTCAGCGCCTGGTTCCTTTTTCCCTCCTGCCACCTGCAAAGCCAGGAGCCCCTGCCCGTGCCCCACTGCCCAGCGCTCATGACATGCTCAGGGTGGGCGGAGGGAAGGG